AAAGTTTTCTGTAAGAGTTTTTAGTGTCTGCAGATGATTTCTAGAATTGTGATGACTGTAAATTATAAAATTATTAGAGATCAAGCCCTGAGGCCAGTAAGGTACATTTAGACCATCTCCTGAAGTAGCTGTTATATTTGTAAAGACTTCATATAATACAGTCTTTCCAGGCAAATAGTTGCCTGTGTTCACGCAATATTTTCACGTAATTTAAATCTTCTTTGCTGCAAGCAGCTAAAGTCTTTGAACTCCCCTTCATAGGCTGTATTTCCTAGAAGCTGTATTTTTCTTGGAGAAAGTCCAGAGAAATCTTGGATCCATGTCTTGGAGGCGTACTGTCCAAACTGGTTACAAGCTTCATTTTGTATGAGGAAAAGTTAAGCATTGCTGTTAATCTCAGAAATGACACTACACTTTTCTGCAGCACTGTCACATCAGTGATCCATTCAGTCTGTGGTTCACTTTAATCCCCAGATCAAACTTCAATAGTACTGGAGTTTACTGGGCTTGAAATTCTTTCATCTAAACGTGGTTGGGTATCTAACTGTTTTATAGCACAGCTCTAAGTGTTCTCAGATCAGTTCACTGGAAGTGTGTTTAACCACACTTTCTCTTCTGTTTTTGTCATAAAGGATGACTGTAGCTTACAACCCTTCAGCAGCTGTGAACTAGAAACAGTCATGTAAATGGGGTATATTCAGTTGTATAAACTCAAAAGATTCCTGTAACAGTTGCCTAATAAATGAGTAATTTTCCTTTCTGTCCTTTGATAAACTTTTACAGTAATGCTTTACTTTAAGTCTTTGTCAGATATAAAATGCAAACTTTCTGCTCTGGAAAACAACTTCTGCCCTTTGAGTTCTTTTACCTTAAGTACTGCATTTTTGTAGTCAGGCAGTTGAATTTGTACAGGAGTAATTCCAAGTATTTTCATCTGCTTGCAGTAAAAACTGTATAAATACTGGACAAAACCAAGTATTTGAGAACTTCACGACTCTAATTGGTGTTGTGGCTTATATGTTGAGAATCTCACAATAGATTATCCACAAAATTCAGCAACCTCGCATTACGTATTCAGAGGGGTCCAAGTCCAGTTACTTCAGGTCTTGAGAAGAATATTGCTGTCCCAGGAATTTGTATCTGAAATAAATACATTGATGGACTAATTGGATTAAAGAATGAAAGAGGCAATAAATAGAGAGTCCCAAGTTAAGAAGTAACCAGGCATGTTCCAGAGTCTGGTTTTGAAACACATCTGTAATTGTTGAAAGCCTTAAGGGCTCATTAACACTCATGACACTTCATGCTTGTTATTGAAACTGCTTCAAAAAACTCTTCAGTTGTAAGAGTTTATGCGATATAGAGGATAGGCTGTATAGTAAGCCCATCCTTGTTTAGTCATACCAACTGTTTGAGAATTAATTCCATCTCAGTTAATAGCTATATTCATAGGGATTTACTTATTTTAGTCTGTTTCTATGGCTTGGAAAAAAATATTGCATATATCCTGTGCATTACGTATGACTCCTGTGAAGCTAGTTCTGTTTGAACCAAAGTGTACTCCTAGAAAAATGTTAGTTCTTGATTAGAAATTTTGCCTTGTGGAGAAACAGAATACCAATTGTGTAGTTTCATCAGGCAATTATTTTCACCATGGAACTGCTGCTATTTGTAGCTTTTGTCCATTAGACTTGGCCCTGTATTAAATTTCTTATCTGTTTATACTATTTATGTGTGGATTAAAATCTTCCTGCCTCCCAGGTAAAATAAATTCGTTTTATTTTAAAATAAATTAGTTGAATTATTAAGCTTTTTGCTTTAAAAAAAAAAAAGGGTATTTGTAATTTTCATGTCAGTTTTTGTTGTGATGGTCTTTCAAGTTGCTTTCAGCTTGTTTCTTTAAAACTGTGTACTTCAGCTGGCACAGTGTTACAGTAATACAGCAGGGTAAAGCAGAGGTATTACCCCATTGTGTACATTCAGACATCATGTCTGCCATTTTATTGTAGAAATACATTCACTTTGTTATCAATTGTAATTCCAGAGAAGTTAAATCCTGGCTACAATCCTTCCTATTAGAAAATTTCTGTTTTTCATTCCCTGATGGATATAACATTACACATTTCAAAACAATCAAATATGTTTGGGTGTTTTATGCCTAAATTCACAGGCCAGTTCAGAATAAATGACACTTGTATTCTTGTTTTCCCATGGCCTAGAAACATGGATAATAACTTCAAGCTTTCCAGTTATAAAGGAAAAGGTGGAACAATTTAGGTATTAGAAAGTAATTTCTGGAGGAATGTATTAGATCTATACCTCTGTTACCACTTCTAGATGTGTATGTATAAAATATATACGAATAGAGATACGCTTTTGTATCAAAAATTTAGATAGAGCTTTTGATCCATTTAATATATATTGTTATCTTTTATTGTTCAGATTATTAGAATGTCATTGGTACAATAATACTGTATACTGTTGGCTAAATATAGCCTACGTTGTCATTTGAGATCTCCTATGATTTTCTGCCTGGTGTCTCAGCTTATTCTCCAAAAAGGAATAAATCTCCCATAGGTTCCTATAGTAATATTTGCCAATCCCATTATGGATTTCTTGAGCCTTCTAGGGCGTATGAGAAGGTAATAGCAATCAATCCTCATGTAACTGAATCCTGTATGTATTGCAGAAAAGTAGCAGTGTTTTCTCAAATTTCAAAAGCTCACACTAAATTCACACTGGATTAGCATTAATTATCCTCTTTTGATAGTATTAGGGTTCCAAATTTCCTCCCTTTCTCTCCTACCACCCTGTCAATTCTGAATGGATCCTGCTGGTAAAGGGTAATTGGTAGAATCATATAAATGTTAGTTGGATGGGACTTCTCGGTTGGGGAGGGACATTGGGGGGGAAGACGAGACTGGTTTTGGGAGGAGTGTTTGTTTGGGGGGTTTTTTGAAACTTGAAAACTTTTGGTGGCAGAAATTCCACAACCTTTCTGAGTAACCTGCTGTGCTGTATTATGCACAAAAGAATTTCCTTTACCTCCCAAACCGTAATTTATGGCTGTTGTCCCTAGTTGTATGACCTGCTGCTGCAAACAGCTCTATGCTTCCACTTGCAGCTTTTATTTATCCCACAGATGTTTCTAGTATGAAATATGGTGTTAACTACTTGTTTAGATGTTTGGATAAGTAAATTTAAGTTTTACTGGTTTTTACAACCTGTAGCCTCATTGCTATCCATTTAGCTAATTCTTCTAGTTTTATTTTTAGTTTTGTTTTTTTTCCATGGGAAACTAAAGAGGAGAAAAACAGTAGTCAGGTATTTTTTCCATTGTTTTAATTCAGATACTGAACATAAGAGTTGAACTTTAGCAGGACTATTTTTAATGCATTGTGTAAATAATGTGAAAAATGCTATAGCCTGGGTTTCAGATGCAAGAGCACCTAACATCAGTGTTCAGCATGGAGATACTGCTATAAGTACTAGAGATCCATTGAATTCTGTGTATCAGAATAGCTCCCTTCAGATAGATATAAAAAAATCTGAATAAGGCGGCAGCCTTTTTGAAAGATACTTATCTTACTGTAAATGATACCATTTATCAAACTGATTTTAGTATATACACACACGTCTAAAAATACACCATCCTTAAAAATAGTATGTGTATGTGGAATAGGAGGGGAAAAAAGCCTTATACATCTTAACAGCAAATGATGCCTATAGCACTGAACCCAGTAACTCCAAACTGCTGAGTCTATCAATGCCTTAGCAATATTAAGGAATGAGAGCACTAAGGAAAATGAGCGTATTGAAAAACTCTGGCTAAGGTAGAAGCAAAATACAGAAGTCATTGCTTTCAAGTCGGATAGTTTCTATCCTAAAAAAAAACCCAAACCCAATCAAAACTATTGCAGGAAATAGGTAAAAACGCTGCAACTTAGCTGGCTAAATCCATCAAATTATGTGGAGTACTATCTAGAATTGCAAAGATGATGAACTCGGTAGGACAGTGTGCATTGTCATAGAATCTTTTACTTGCTAAAAATTGTACTAGATGAGAGAGGAAAAAGACCTGTGTGTATTAAGTATGTGAATGAAAGTATCAATTTGAAGCAAAGGAAAATGCAACTCTAGTAAGATTAGCAAAGGTCTGCTAGGAGGTGTCAGTGCTAGTTTATGGGGCACTCAGTAGACTTCAGTTGGTGTGAAGGAAGTGATTTAGTTGTTTTTCAAGAATGATGGGTTTGAACTGGAACAGGTGCAGTGAGGAGATGCAGGAGGATCAGGGAATGCTGTATTTACTCCTTGAGATCTGTATTTGGGAGCTTGTTTGAGGGGTCCTACGGTAATGGTTAAGAGAGGATACGTTTATTCAATATAAATGAATAAAATGGGTGGGTAAAGGAAAAAATGTCACCTCATTTAACAAATATTGGCAAAAAGCTGATACAATTTACCTGAAGAGTCCATACAGTCTTGAAGTTGAAAGGCTTCCAACAGTCAGAATAGTCAGGTTTCAGACCTGTAGAAATGTAACTTGTGTCAGAATGAAGCGTAAGTTTATAATGAGGTAGATGTAATTGCCTTCAGTGGTGTAGGACTGTATCTGTGGTCTTTTGATAATACTTTTGAGACTTCCACTTAGTGAGAAAAATCAACATTGTTGCAATTTCATCCCTGAAATGCAGTAACCTCTTATACTAAAAGGTAATGAAGATGGTAAGAGAAAGCAAGGTGCATATTATACACGTTATACGTAACTTCTAAGGTATATGAACCACTGTTGTTAAAATATATCCTGCCATTTCTATGTAACTATAAATGTGATAAAGAAATGCAAAATACATATTTTAAAAATACCTTGAATAACTTTAAACATATATTGTAAGGATGATTACACTTTTATATATTAACATTTTACATTACATAAAACAACCAAAACCCAGAACCCTTAACTTCAGTAGCTATTTAACTTTTTTCCTTCTTCCTTTCAGACAACAGTGATCTCATTGCTTGTACAGTCATAACAAAGGATGGTGGTCAAGTTCAAAGATTCCTGGCTGTGGATATTTACCAGATGAGTTTGGTTGAGCCAGATGTTGCCAGACTTGGATGGGGAGTAGTTAAGTTTGCAGGCCTTTTGCAGGTAAGAGAAGTTTTAATCTGGGTGGTTGCTTTTTCTCAGCTGAAAATCTACATTTATGTTGGATAAATAGTAATACCAATATTAGCTTATATATCTAAGCTCTGTACCATACTTACTTGTTTCTTCTGTTCCTAGTCTTTTTTCTAGTTCCTGCCTTTTAAACTATTTCTGGTTTTCTGAAGAAGTTTACATAGCTAACTAGAGGCACATTTGAAAATGAGGTCACTTCCCCTATATATATTGGGCTGTGTTCATTTGAACACTGAAATTGTATACAATTAGAATCGAGAACCAGGCACTTTCCTTAAGAGGCACAGTAATGAACTCTCCTAGAGTTCTGATCTTCCTACATGGATAGGGAAGTTGACAGGTTGTAACTTCAAAATGATCTGTGCTTATCTAATTGATTTCAAAAGCTTTAAGAAGTTTCTCTCATTTATGTCTGTCTTGCCTTAGCCAACACTGTTCTTATTTCCTGAAAATTCACTCTGCTCAAATTACTTAATTGGATTTTAAACTGACTTAAATCTCTACGAGTACCAATTTCCGAAGAATTAAATACAAAGTTGTACAACTTCAACTTGCATAGTCTTTTTTTTTTTTTCTTTTTTAAGCATGGAAACTGGGTTTTTAGGAGCTTTTGTGGAGCATTCATAGGGTTTTCTTTTAATGTTGATATTTAATCTGTAGTTTAAAAATGCTAATTTTTTCATTAACTACTTGCCTTCTGTTTGTTTTTAGGATATGCAGGTGACAGGAGTAGAGGATGACAGTAGAGCTCTGAACATAATAATTCATAAGCCTGCCTCAAGCCCTCATTCGAAGCCCTTCCCTATCCTTCAAGCTACATTTATTTTTTCTGATCACATTCGCTGCATTATTGCAAAACAACGTCTTGCAAAAGGCCGCATCCAAGCTCGGCGTATGAAAATGCAGAGAATAGCAGGTGAATGGTTATTTTGAAATGATTCTGAGAAATAACACTTGTATGTCATAGCAAGTCACTCTGTAAGAAATCTAAGAAGTGTTGTGCCACAGAAAACTGTAAACTAGTGTCTAGTTCCCAAGCAATAGATTTTATTGGAGTAAAATCCGTGTTTTCATATTTAATGATAGACACATCAAAGAAAGGATGAAAAAGAAGGAATCCTGTCTTGTTACCACTAGCTGCCAATCATTTCACAAAACTCAGCATTTCTCTTTAAATGTCATTCAGTGATTCAAAATTCACATGCCCTACTTAGAAAGCAGATGTTCTACTGCCTTAGGACTAAATGGGAGCTCAGCCTGCTTGAGTCCTGAGTTGGATGGTGTCCTGATGGTGTTGATGATAATGCTTAATGTTTGGGTGTGGTGATGATGAACAATACAAAATGTTAAGTGGAGTGTCAGCAGCTAGATTGCTGTGTTTGGAGGAAATGTATGCAAAGAGATGAAGTGAAGAGTTAATTTGAGTAAATAGCAAAGTGATTAAAATATTACTTAAATATTAAGCGACTGAAGAATAAATTGAACCTTACCAGTAAGCTGAATGAATTGGTGAGTATAGAAAAGGAAACCCTGAAATACAGGAAGGAAAATAGGTGGGCAAATGAAAAAGGACACCAGCTGTCTCAGTTACTTGGGTTGTCCAAGAGCAATAATGGACTAATCAGAGCTGTGAAAAACAAAGTCGTAGCTGATATTAACATTATTGAGTTGGCCAGAGAATTATTCTGATTATAGATGGTTTAAGATTATTTTAGTGTCTTATGGTTCTGTAGGAAGCTAACTAAAACGAGTTTTATGCTTTGAGTTTACAAAGTAGATGTGTCATACTTTTATGGTTTGCTTCATGTTAAAAAATTTAAATCAAGTTTGAGGTTAATACAGGTCTATTTTGATATTAAAATTTTAAGTTGAATGGTAATGCAAAGGCATTTTTTTGCCAGTTTAACGCAGATTCTGTCTTTAAATGACTTTTTGCAGTGTTCAGTTGTAACTAATGAATGACTTTATACAGGGAACACCAGAAGATTTCTTTTTAAATAACTCCTATGGTTTGTTTAATGCAAGGAGCTTACTGTAATCCTTTTTTTCTCCTCCACTGTATTCTGAAGCTTCCTTAGTGTGAATGTGGTGTGGACAGCAATGGTAGAAAAGCTTGCCAGAAATGTTGTCTCCCTTCTTTTCCAATGCAATTGTAACCATAATTAAGAGGTAAATGCAGGCAAGTTATGTTAAACTATCTGGTTTAGCCTTAAAATCCTGAGCAAACTATCAATTTTATTTTCACATACTTTTCCTTTTTATGTATTTTTGAGTAACAAAAATTATCAATTGTGATTGAACATAGCTCTCCTGGATCTTCCTGTTCAGCCTTCAACTGAAGTTGTTATGGGTTTTGGACACAGCTCTGCAGCTACAGCCCAACACCTTCCATTTAGATTTTATGATCAGTCACGACGTGGTAGCAGTGATCCTACAGTGCAACGCTCTGTTTTTGCATCTGTTGACAAAGTTCCAGGTAAGATTAGCATTCATTGTCGAGCAGGTTTTGCTTTGTGATTTACATCTGCAAAAGCTGAACTGTAACTTTTATAAGCAATGAGAATCTTACTGTGATACGTTTCTGAACACACAACTCCAGGATGAGACTTATGGAAGAATTTACTCCTAGAGAAACAAGTAATACCTGGGTCTGTAATGCAGGTATGTTGTGAGCAAAACAGCCATGACAGCTTCTCCAAATACACTGCAAGTGTCTTAATACTTTCCCTTCCTTTACAAATTGAGTTAGTTTAAATCATGTTTCGCATACTCAGTATTTATGCAATGCATCTGTCAGTTGTGCATAGTTCCTCCTTTAATTTGGTTATGATCATTTTCTTGCCAGTTTGTAAAAATAGCTGGAATACTGCGCACTGCTTCATTTACCTTAGAGCTAGCAAGACAGAAAAGGGCCACAGCTACTCCTAAAACATTAGCTTGGAATTGGGATTAAAGGAATCATTCTAAATCAATGAGCTCTTTGCTCTTTTGTCTCCTTATTGTCTGTTTCACAAATTGACTTCTCTGCAGAGGTTTTTTTCCAGATGGTGAACTTTTCTCCTTTTAGATTGAGTCATTTTAAAGTTGAATCTCATACTGCTTGAAAGTACTTAATTTTGCTGCATTATACAAAAAGATGCAATCTTGTTACCACTAGTTGCCAATCATTTCAGAAAACTCAGCATTTCTCTTTAAATGTGATTCAGTGTTTCAAAATTCAAATACCCTACTTAAAAAGATGATGTTCTACTGCCTTAGGACTAAATGGGAGCTCAGCTTGCCTGAGTCCTGAGTCTGGGGAACAGAAATCATAAAAGCATTTATATTGCCGGTCAGGTTTTTCAAAAGATAAGTGTATGTTGTATGATGGGAATGTATTTCCTTATTTGACATGACTTCCATGGAAAAGGTGTGGTTGAAAAGATGCCAGTGTTACTGTTTCAGAATCAACCGTCTCTAAGAGTGCACTTGTGTTCATAACAAGTGACTTCACCTACTAATTCTTTTTTTAAATTTTTTTGGTGGGGTATTGGAGGTGGTGCAACATGGTAGATTGTTCGAACAACCACATACTTACTTTGCATTCCAGAAAATGGAGAATTCCATTGTATGCACATGCAGATCCAGAGGAAAAGTATTCTGAAGCTTTTTTTTTGATACCGAGTATGAGAAATCAGGCACAGAACATGAAGTATTTCAAATACTGCATTTTTAAAATGCATTTTATGACAGCCAATAATACAATAAAAATTGATTAATATATTGTTTTACATCTGATTACAAAATAAATATCAAATGCCTCTTCCTTCTCCCCTTATCTTCGCTAATGAATGAATGAGGTTTCCTACTTGTGAGAGATTTTCATAGGAATCTGTTTGTGTTTATCCCTTAATCAGGCTTGGAGTGATTTTTAGTTTAAGAGAAAGATTTTGTGCTTTTTAAAAAAACTATTGAGCAAGTTGCAGTTAAATTGCTAGCTTCATATATTAATTTCTTAATGCTACAACTTTAAGTGGTATTTAAGAGTTCTGCAAAGCTCGTATAGTCTGTTAATTTGATTTTACTTAGAAGAAACAAGTTATGCTTTCCCTTGGTGATGGTGTTTTTTGATTTAAAGGAGAGCTATGTTTTTGGCAATATTTTTAGAAGATTGATCACTTCTTTTAGTAGGACTATGTTAGCTGTCAGTGCTGTATATCCAGTGTGGTTTTTAAGAAATTGACAATGATATAAATGTTTTCAGCCCTCCTGCAAATTTCACTCTGCAGACAATTTTAGTACAACTATTGAATCAATTCTCTAATCCCTCCTCTTAACTGTTCTTGAAAATTCTAAATTCATTATTTCAGTCTGGTCTAGTTCAGTTTCTGTCGTGCACACATAAAGCTGTACATATTTCACTAGAGAGCATGCAGTTACCTTATTGTAGCCAAACTGTGCTTCACTGTGCTTTATTGTTTCATGGTTCAAAGTTAAAATCTGTTTTGAAAGTGCTTCTTGACATCTGGGGGGAAGAGAGTGAGGGTTGCTATGGCTTAAAACCAGATTTTGTGCAAGACAGGTGGAAGGTGACAAGAATATAACAGACCATACTTCAGAACATCCATGTTAATACTCTTCATAAAAAATACGGGTTATGCAAATGCAGTGAGATGATGTAATCATCCCAGATGACTGGCCCCTTAAACTGGGCAATTCTTATCAGAGAAGAACAGAAGCAAAATCCTTCACTTGATCAATTTTATCATCATGAAGTCATGACCATGAATGTACTTCAGGGTCTATTTTAGGTTAATGGCCTTTGCCAGAATATTAGAGCATTTTAAGGATAGTTTAGTTGGCTGAACTATTCACCATCTTCTATATTAGCTATGTACTCATATGAAGCACTCTCTATGTAAATAAAGAATTACATTGTTTTCAAAGAAATGAGCACATTTGGTAGGTGTCCTGTGAACATAGGTCTTCTATTGAAAGTAAATAAATAATCATTTCCTCTCCAAGCAAACTCAAATATTAGTTTCAAATACCAGCTGTATACTGAGATTTATATGTTCAGTGTGTCTTAAGGGAAATCTTAACGATTTCCTGTAAAACGTACATTTAAATATTTTAACAAGTGTGGTCACTTTCCTACTGAGAAGATTTATTTTGGAAAGCAAAATGAATCAATAGATCTTTCTTACTATTTTGTCCATTGTTAATACCTTAGTATATGACGATGATGAGATTTGGGGGGGGGGGAGGTGGGGAAAAACCTTGTTAGTAATACTAGCAATTACAAGCAAAGTATAGCCATCTTTATTTTAAAATCCAAAGGAAAAAAATGGTCTTTTAATAGCTTTGTAACACTTTAAATGAAAAGGAAAATGTAAGCGAGAGTTCTACATTCTACAAAGAATTCTACAACGTTTGCATCACTTCTTGGGAATAGGAAAACTTTAAACAAAGCCTGAGAATTGTTTAAGCAGTGTTTGAGATAGTTCAGATTTATATGAAGAAAATTTATTTTAGTTTTGGCAAATATTATGCACTTTGTCACCACAGGTAGACATAAAATAATGGATTTTTTTAAATTAGTAATATGAATGCATTCTTGAAATGTTTATAACCTTTTGTAATTTAATCGCCTTCTCCATCCACAGTAAGAAAACAGATCCTTTTGATCAAAGTACTAATGAGGGGCTTGACATTCACAGCTGATAAGCATCTGCACTTGTTACTGATTTTATGAGGTTAGATTGCTCGGCACATTTGAATGTCATATACAAGTTATTTTGGAACTGTACTGTGGGACTCTGATCAACCCTTTCATGATCATCATCAACTGTAGCTACTGTAGGAACATCAGATTGGGATAGTGTACTTAAGTAGTACTAAGTTACTTCCAGTGTGAGATGGTTGAAATGTTCCATGCTCCATTATTCTAGGGTACAGTTGCTTTTATAGCCCATAAGTATATTTAAAGTATTTTTTGATTCCTTTGTTCTATGCAAGAATAATAGAGGACAACTAACTGAGTTTATCACCTCAGTTTGTTTTTTCTAGTTAATATTCTTTGAACCATTCCAAGTTTGATACTTAGTTATAGTTGCTGCTTTTAAAGACCCAACTCTGCTGCCTTTTTTTATACCTATTTATATTGCCTGGTCATCAGAATTGTGGGGTATGAACTAGATACTAATCTTCCTGTCATCATCACAATGATGTAGAACTAAATCATTTTTCTGCAGAATTGCCTAATTAAGGTAGTTTGACAGTGCTAAGATTACACAAGATACAACTAACTTGATTTATATAGTATGAACTACTGCTTGTGTGCAAGAAATGAAAGATACCATTGAAACTGAGTTAAATATGCAGGACTGCTACTAGTTAGGTTTTTTTGTTTTGGGGTTATTTTTGGTTTTTAGTAAGGAACAGGCTTGAAAACAATCTTTACCATTTGGGGAGTTTACTATTTACAAGGATTATTTTCAGTAAAATACTAGTCTGTTAAGTATACTACATTGATGAGAAGAACTGTGAATAGAGTCATCACATATTGGCATTGCATGGCAAATGTGGAGACTGAAAAAGTCAATTAATCCATTTTTTTAACGCTAGTTGAAGTTGCGGCAGCTACTGGCAAGAGACCTCCAAGTGACCAATTTGTGCATGTTTTTTCTTGGCAGCAAAAACATTTTTTGCATCAAAACAGTTATTCTTCAGTTTTATGAGGTTTTAACAGAGGTTCTTAAATGTAAACAATCTGTACAAGTTGAAATTTTTTTAAAAGTGCATCAGGTCTTCTGAGGCAGAATAGCACTTTGCAAAGATGCAAAATAACTACTGAAAGAAATTATTTTCAGACATGTAAGGGGGTTTTTTCATTCATACTTGCAAAAAACCTCAAGTTCAGCATTGCCTTGATTTGATTACGGACAAACACGTGGAAAGACATGAGAATTTTTTATGAGATAACTATACGTAGAAAAACAGAATAGGAAGAAATCAGAATACAAAAAAAGACATTGGGGTAATGAAGATATGGTTTACAATGAGAAAACAGTTTCTCCTTTCTTGGCCAATGTTTTATTTCTACTTCTCAGGCTTTTTTTTTTCTTTGGTTTTTGTTGTTGTTGTTTTTGTCTTGCTTGTCCTGTTCTCTGCCGCCATCACCACCCCTTCCCCTTCTCCTCACCTTCAAATTTTATTCCTAGGAGATCTTATAGTTCAGGCCATCTTTCATATGAAGCCATTTATAAGACAGTAGGAAGGTTTTCTCCAATTTAGGAGAAAGATTTGCATTAATTGCTTAAGAAAGAGTTCCTTTAAAGAAAAGCTAAGAGTCTGTTTCAGGGTTTGGCATGAAATTTTGCTGCTGTTACAAAAAATATGGCAAAAGGATAACTGTTCATACATGTTTTATGAAAGAAACCCAGCCTTGTAAAACACTGTGATTATGGAAACAGGAGCTTCTCAAAGGAACGGGGA